TCTATTGCGATTTCCTTGAAGTTCAGCGAACTATCAATAGCCAATACTACTCTGAGATGCTAGAACACAAAGTTAGACCAGCTATCAGGATCAAACGCCGTGGACTCTTGTCAAAAGGAGTAATTCTTCAGCACGATAACGCCCGCCCTCATACAGCCCAGCTGACCCGTGATAAGCTTCAAGAAATGGGTTGGGAGGTCTTACCTCATCCAGCTTACAGTCCCGACCTCGCCCCATCTGATTTTTACCTGTTTGGATCACTCAAAGACGCTCTACGTGGAAAAAGATTTGCTAACAATGAGGAAGTTATGGAAACGGTGCAAAAGTGGCTTCGGGGTAAATCGAAAGAATTCTTCGCCAAGGGAATTAGAAAGCTGCAAGAAAGATGGGACACGTGCATAACTGTGGGGGGTGATTATGTCGAAAAATAGCCTTAATTTTGAAAATTTGAAATAAACCGGTTTTGAGCTATAGCCATTTGTCTCTTTACTTATTGAATGACCCTCGTACATTGTTATTGAAAGTTGATTTTGTTAGTGAACCTACAACCTACTGATAATTCTGTTTTTGGTCCTTACTGTCCATTCTAAATCTGCACAGAATAATCAAAACACAATACACGACCAAATAACCCACTTTCTTGATGCGTAACTAAATAATAGTCCACAGTACGTCTACCCCTGTTTTAAAACTTCGTGAGTGGATTTATTTTTACGAGTCTACCACACTTTGCCTCTGTGAAATTTCACGAAAACGCCTGCGTTTTCTACTATGCCATGCCCGAACATGTCAATTTTATTATGTTATGTAATATATTGACCACATATTTCTTTTGCAATTGAAAGGTCATTTGATAATAAACACAAAACAAGGCTTGACCGACAGAATTAATCCGGCGATCGATAAGCCCATCGACTAAGAAAATTTAGATTTCGGAATCCAGGCTATTACGTTACGGCAACATTGTATTTATTTAGGTATACATTATACATTAATCGAATAATCAAATATTCGAATACTCGTATACTCGAATAGTCGAACACTCGAATATTCGAATACTTAGAAATATTCGAATAGTGAATAATTTGGGTATTCAAATAAAGTTTCAAACGAATATTCGAATACAAAAATCTGAAAAATTCCGAGCCCTGCTGATAATATATTTTTTTTTTATATAGTTGTCGATGTAAATTTTAAATAAATAATAAGCTACTTATAATTAAAATTCCAATTCATTTTTTTTTACTTGAGGAGGCGATTAGTTTTTATAAATTAAATAGCAAATAAAAAAATATATATTTTAAACGTGCCCGTAATTAGATATGATTAGTATATTCACCTGCATTAACATTGGCTACAAATCTAAACCTTCGGATTGCATTTAGGTAGTACCTCGCACATTTAAAATATTCACAGTGTCTAGGCACAGTTTAAAGAATATATTATTTAAACTGTGGTCTAGGTACACGCTAACTTGTACGCAATTAAAAAAGTTATATACACGCGAAACGTCTTGAAAGAGTAGGTGAGCTGTGTCTAGGCCGTTGGTGTTTATCCCGGTCAGCGTAGATAGGCATGGATTCGCCGCCACCCTACGAGAAGTCGTTGCTTCGTTTTCTTATAGTCACGGCATTATTATTATTTGTTCATGTATGTGAAATTTGCTTCTAAGGTTTATAAAATACTACTACTAGTCACGGCGTAAATGAAAACAAACAAGACGCATTCACACAAACACCTCCCACCACAGCAATATGACGTTTCGCGTGTATATAATTTTTTGATTTATGTACACTTTAGCGTGTAGCTAGCAACAGCGTGAAATATTTGCAACATAATTATATTCCTTTATAAATAAAGTAAAAGAAACTTCAAATATGTCAGTTTTGTAAACTGAAATTAATCTATACAATTAAACACGAATCCTGGATTTGTGAAAGCAGACACAGCTAATTTAAAAAAACGCCAAATAAGACAACTAGAACAAAAATACAAACCACTGAAACTATATAGGTATTACGAGAAGAAAACAAATGTTTTTTTTTAAATATTCGCCTTTCGGGTATAACATTTGGCAACGTAGTAACAATGTATTGTTATTCTATAGGGTGCTTTTGGGCGGGAATATTAATAATGGTTTTTTAAAATACAATTTTCTTCCAAATGGATAAATGAATGTTTACTAGTATAAATAAATAAGTACCATTATTGATTGTTTCTACATAATTAGGATTAAAAGTTTCGATGGCGTTGTTATTTATAGTCGTCCATTTCATTTTTACTTTCCTATCTGAATACAGATATAAGGAAAGTATAGGAATCATTATTATTTTGTATTAAAATTTTGTCGGTCACCAATTTTAGTGTAGGTATTTTATACTTCATTAAAAATTGTAAATTTAAACATATAGTAATCAACATACCATTCATCGTATACAGGACATATTCAGGTCGTCGTAATGAAAAAACGGCGCTTTAAATTTGGCGGTCATTATGAACGAGTGGGTGAAGGTGTATTAACTAAACAGTTCTGCAAAAATTAGAAAACATAACCTAGTTATTTAAGCAGGTGGACTCATCGATCGCCGGATTAATTCTGTCGGTCAAGCCTTGTTTCGTGTTTATTATCAAATGATCTTCCAATTGCGCTAAAAAAGAAGTATGTGGTCATTGTATTACATAGCTACGTAAAACTGACATGTTCGTTCAGGCGCCGAACAGTAGAAAACGCAGCGCTTTCGTGAATTTTCGTAGAGGAAAAATGTGGTAGACTCGTAAAAGTAACATTTGTGTACCTAGATGAAACTTGGATCTATCACAATGGGTCTCGGTTTCGTCAATAGGTAGATACAAGAGTATTCTTCAAAAATCAAGACTAAGGTGAAACGATTTACTATTTTACATACAGGGTCGACATTTTGATTTTTAAAGGGATGCTACTACAATACCGTGTTTTAAAAAGCGGGTGGTTAACCAGCTAATTCCTGATACATGTGTGGTGGTTATATTTTATATTCAAAATTGGGCAAAAATTAAGCATTTAACAGGGACAACGTCACATTTAAATTATCAGTAAGATTATTTTTGCAGCCAAGCTGACATTTATGTTTAAAATGAACTGACAGTTCCGATATTTTACACACAAGACAACTTGATAACGCTGCTTCAAATAATAAAAAATGACATGTCTAACCTTGAAAAAAATTATTAAAATGCTAATTAGGCATTTCAACGATCTGTCAAAACGCTGCCAGTGGGACCACTGACAGTTTAGACCTGCATTGGGATTCTCATTTTTCAATTGGGCACGTGTTGAGACGACTATCTTCGCTCCACAGAATGTGATTCGTATGTGAGAGTTGAAGTGATGCTATGAGGTTTGTTTTGGTTCACGTTCTAGAATTGTTCCAGAACTATGCGCAGAACAATTGCGCAATGGTCCTTAATTCTGAATAGTTCTGTAACCATTCCACTTGTATTCGAAACCAAAACACTGCCAGAACAGTTGAATGTCAAAAAGTAATTTGTAAATAAAAAAGAAGAAATAACACAGGGTCAGTGTCTAGGTAAGAAAGAGGCCACATAATATTGTAAAACGTAGATAAATTAAATAAAATATTCGTAAAAAATCAACATCGACTAATCAACTGCTCCATTCTCATTAGTCATTCGAAAATTCCTTGTAAAAAATCCAAAACAAAATTACTTGCAAAAAAGCGCAAGCGCAAACATATCAATTCTGGAACAGTTCTCGCTTTAGGCCAGAACCGACGTTACTGTCCGAGAATGGTTATGGAACCATTCCCAAGAAAAACCAAAACACAGAACTTACAGGTTCGGAACAGTTCTGGCGAAACCAAAACAGCAAATATCTACTGCGCAAGCTCCAAAGGTTCTGGAAGAGTTCTAGAACAGTAACGAAAATGAACCAAAACAAAGCTATGGACATAAACGTGTACGTAAAATCTGACATCTGCGCATGCGTATTCAAATATCCTTCACGTTCACGTCTACGTAAATACGTAAGCTTGCGGGCTCTGGCGTATGTACGTAACGCAAACAAAATAACCTCTTTTTAATTGGGAAACAAGAAATCCTAATATTAATTGTCATTAACTGCCATGGCACGTAAATGTCACTATGCGTCTAACAACTTTAACTCATATTTTGGACTTCAACGTAAACATTATTTTTCTGCGTTGACGTTCACGTTTACGTTAACGTACTGGAAGCACTTTAACTCTCTAATGTCTCTATTCAATTCGTTACGTGTTAAGTACGCACATAATAATTTCTGTCATGGAGACCCTGTGGGCCTGTTGTCACTGACACATATATAGTTATATAGATTGCTCAAAGCGGGTTGTTTGCGAGCGGCCATATTGCCTGGCAAGTGCTGAATATATTAAAAAAAATAATTACATACTTTTTTACTTCAAGAAATAAGCTTATGTTTATTTTTAAAAACATGGATGATCAATCTACATCATTGGCCCTGTCAGTGTTGCCAGATCATTATATAATGTGCCTGTCAGTGGCCTGTCATTACCTACGGGCAACCATTTTGTTTAAAATGCCTAATGGCTGCAGGTGGGAAAGGTTCGTATATGTATATAAGGAAGTTGCGACATTGCCTTCCATCTTGGACGCTATCTAAATAATTAATTAGGCTGTCGATGGGAAGTTTTGGTATATCTAAGAGGTTGCGATATATTCTATCTACAACACGTGAAGTCATGAATAATGGATTAAATTTATTTATTTTGTGTCGAACACAATGAAAATAATATTTTAAAAACGCTTATACAATTATTTTGATAAATTGGCAGGCTTGGCGACTACTATTTCGAATAAAAATAGCGTCTAAGATGGAAAGCTATGTCGCAACCCCATCAAATATACGAGCCCTACTCATCGGCATCTATTGTTTCATAGGCCTTTTTATTTCGTTTCTTTTTTTAATTTTAGATTTTATTAATAATATTAGTAAAAGTCCTTACCTTTTGGATCCAATTTTTCTGGGTTAAACCATGCATCTGAAAAGATATATTAGTGTAAGCGGTTAGTATGTACAGGCGTTTTACAAAGTTTACATAACAGAGAGTAACAGATACTATAAACATAAATTTAAACACATGGCAGCAATAGCCCTTTTTTCTATTAGATCTATCATGCGATATAAATTCACACCTCTGAACTAGAAACACATCGAGTCTATTTAAAATCAGAACTTGATGTAATCAGCTTGTGAAGGTATCAATTTATTAGATCGGTTAAATGCATCCTGAAAATGTATCATAGTTTACAAGTTTATAATACATGGTTAAGTGCGTCTAATTGGGGTCAATTAAGGTTCCTACTTTAAAATTTAATACATTCATTTATTCATTCATAAATCCATCATACATAAACAAACAGGCGTCAAACAAGTATGTTCAACACTGATTTGGTAATTCTTTTTACTAAATTATTTTCAGACTTTAAATTACTAGCTAATTAATACCAATTGGAATTTTTTTTTATACCCAGAAAAATTAGGTTGTGAGCAGTTTTACAAAAAAAAAACTCGTTTGTGTAATAATTGCCATTTGTTGTTGATTTTTTTTTAAATAACGATCTGCCATTACCGTTCATTATAAATAGAATTTTATTACCTACCTAAACAATCATTAAACCTATTTTATGTGCCTTGTTAATATTAACCTACTTGAAAATAATAAATACCACGTTTGCCAGTCTTTACTCCAAATTATTAAAAAACAAATTTCTAGGTTAAAAAAATATGGGCGTGAACTGGTGGGGATAGGACAAATTCAAAAGCGACCAGACAATTTCTATACGTGACCGGTCACTTTTGCTCACTTTTTCGATGACCGCCAACAATATTCTTATATATCAACTATTTTCTTTAAGCCTCTTCTAACTCTGTAACATCATGTTGTATTCTTTAGTATGTATTGAGCATTGAAGGACAATACAATCTATATGTATTCGACATTTATGAATTTTTACAAATAAATTAAGTACAATGGCTCGATTATGGATTTCCAAGGGATGCAGAACTTTTTCTAAAGATTAACTTTTTTTTTAGCACTCTGTATAAAAATGTACAACGCTGGAAATATTCACTTCGGGACTATAGGCCCTACACAACTTTTTAGGTGGTTTACAAATAAATATTAAACCAACTTTCACTTCATGTAATCTGCTTTATAAATAAATTACAATGAGCAATGAACTTTAATCTGTACTTTAAACAGACTTTATCATCCGAGATAATAGTTTTTATTTAAAAAAGCAAAATAATTTTTAAATGTTTACTTAACAAATGAATTTAAAATGTTTCAAATAGTTATTTCAACGAAGAAAATCAGTTTGGTTATTAAGATTACCTTTATTATGAGGTATCACTCGACCCTTATGTTAAATTTCAGTTTTTTGACGACGCCGCTGCCATTGTTTCTAGACAAATCAATCAATAATGGAAATGGTGGAATTTATTAAAATTTTAAAATCATCGTACCTAACTAGGTAGGTCTCAAGCAAAAGACTAGAGTTTAAATAGATAAATGTGACAACAAAATTTTACCAGCATTTTTCTTTAATTTGATCACGAAGTAAGTTGCATTCTTTGAGTATTCTATATTTTAATCAAATTAATCACAAAAGTCGCCAAGTATCCGATAGATAAGTAGGTAATTAATAAAATGACATTACGAAGGTCAAATCCGTAACTTAACACTGTGAATATGAAACAGTAGACGCATAAATAAAAATAAAAACAAGAGCAATTTGATATTTTCTAATAAAAAATATACCTACTAGGGCTAAATAAAACACATAATAGGGATCTGTTACACGACGTAGAAGGTTTACCGTATCCCTGTAATTGTTTAACCTCCTGTATACCGTTCAAAACGTCATCGACCACTTCGTTTGCCATCTTTTTGAGGTCCTCGGACATATTAAATCAACCAATGAAAATCACATGCACTAAATGTCACAAAAATAGTAAACAATTCCACACCCTAACCTTGAAATACGAAAAATTAGGCGTTTATCCCGGTAGTATGTTACAAAATTTACGTTTATGCTGTATGCAGCAAATAGGAGTACGTCTATGTCTATCAGTGTTTTGTGTTGACTCCGGAAAACTACCAATCTACCAACTACCTGCTATTTGAATCATTCACTGGGCAGGCGTGCACTGTTATCGACCCGCATGTGGATTGGGTACAGGGTACAGTACCTATTAGCCAGTCGTTGACGAAGTTCTAAAGTACCTTCGAAACTGAACTTTAATCTTGTTTCATTACAATCATTCATTTAATCCTCATTTGCAATGGGTGTTTACACTTTACGGCTAATTGTTTTAAAATGAAAACATCTATTTTTGTTTTGCGATTATTCAAAGTTTAAATATTTCGTACCCTGCTTGTTGATTTTTTTATTCGGGATATGTACAGGGACGGGATCAGGAAGAATGTCTTAGCGAATTAACAATGTATTTATGTTCCTTCTGATTATTATTTGTTTATGTTTTGGACAGTGTTGCCATAAACATACCCATAATAAAGTTGTTACAGATTCTAACGGCCGCTAATTTACATGTTTTATTGTTGTATCAGGAATACTTACAAAAAGCAAATCTTACAGAATTAAATCATTAATTTTAAATAAGCAAATATTATCAAACTAACTACCAATATAATTTTTATTAGTAACAACTTTTTAAAACTAGCGACACTCCTGAGACTATCCTCAGGAGAAATCCTAGAAAAACAGACTGGGACAAATACAACACCATTCTAAAACAAAATTTAGCACGTATCCAGACTGAAAAGGAACCCAGGTGCCCACTTGCTCTGGAAAGAACTAAATGAGGCAATACTTAAGGCAAATAAATCAAGCTGCCCCATTCAAACAAATAGTACTAGTAATGATGCTCCTTGATGGAACCGTCATCTTCAAACTTGCGATCCGAAGTGCGGAAGCTCTATAGTAGGGCCAAGCATAGCGGAGATTGGCAGAGCTACACCGAGGCACTTACTAACTACAACAAAGAAATCAGGAAAGCTAAAAGTTACAGCTTCAGGAAATTCTGCAAGGATATTAACTCTACACCTGCGGCAGCGAGACTGCACAAGGCCCTGGCAAAAGGGAGAGTTGATACAGTTACGGCGTTAAAGAAACCAAATGGAAGCTTCATGGAGAGTGAAGAGGAAAGAGCTCGCCTCTTACTCGAAACTCACTTTCCTAGGAGCACACCTTTTCTAATAAGGGACACAACTAAGGTAAGCAGACCCGCAAGAGAGGCCGCTGTAGTGGCCGAACACATATGCAGCAGCATTCGTGAACACCGTGAACACTTTTGAACCGTTTAAATCTGCAGGTGTGGATGGAATATTTCCTTCCCTGCTTCAGCGGGCAAAGAAGAAGAAGGAATTACTACCACACATAATCCAGATATCCCGGAGCAGTCTGGAATTGGAATATATACCAGAATCATGGAGAAGGGCCAGAGTCACCTTTATTCCAAACAGAATACCGCCCATCCTAAATCCTTTTGACCAAAAGTCCTGGAGAGGGTGCCACTTCACCACAGCCAGCACGCGTACCGAGCAGGAAGATCTACAGAAACTGCACTGGTACAGCTGACTGACGTAATCCAGAATGCACTGACAAACAAAGAAACGGTCGTGTGTGGCTTCATTGGCATAGAAGGAGCGTTTGACAACACGCCACACGCATCTATTAAAAGAGCACTTGCATATAGAGGAGTAGATAGCCCCACATCCAGATGGATGACAGCTGCTATCTACGAGAACTGCAGAGACACATCTGCACAACCAGAGGATGTCCACAAGGAGGAGTTCTATCCCCACTAATGTGGATCCTAACCGTAGACGAACTTCTATGCAGATTGACTGACTTCGGCATACCCTGTCAAGGTTATGCCGACGACATAGTCATATTTGCTAGAGGCAAGTTTAGAAATATCCTGTGTGATATAGTCCAACGAGGACTAGAACATACCAAAAGATGGTGCCAGGAAGTAGGACTTAGAATAATCCCTACAAAAACAGCACTAGTAGCCTTTTCAAGGAAAAGAAAACTTAATCTCAAAAACCGTTAAATTAGACGGGATAGATATAGAATAGAAAAATGAAGTTAAATATCTAGGCCTAACCCTGGACAACAAACATCTCTTGAACACACATGAGAAGGAAGTAGTAAATAAGGCCAAAAAAGCCCTAATGGTATGCAGAAACATTGCGGGTAAACGATGGGGATGTAACCCATACTGCAATGGATGTATACTGCAATAGTGAGATCAATCATCACTTAAGGGGCTATAGCCTGGACTAACAGAACTAGTTTAGCTACTACGAGAGCTAAAATCTCAAAAGTACAAAGACTAGCCTGTGTTTGCATTACTGGTGCAATGAGAACCTGCCCTACAGCCGCAATGGAGGTGATCTTAAACCTCACCCCTCTATATTTGATGATAGAGAAAGTGGCAAAAAGGACACGATATAGAATGATCAGGAACGGAGTAATCAGATGAAAGTCTACTTGCTTCAGAACTAAAGATACCTGGGACATGCCCCAGGATGAAATGCTAAAGAAGTACAGTTTTGTGAAAAACTTCAAAACCACAGAGCTGGACTGCAAGAAAGAATGGGGCCAAGAATCCATCGCGCTTGCAACCGAAAGACATGCTATTCAGCGGTATATGGACGGTTCCAAAACCATAGAAGGAACTGAAATAGGAGTGTATGGGCCGAGAACCAAGCACTCCGAAAGCTTGGGAAAATACCCAAGCATCTTCCAGGCGAAAATTCACGCCATCGAGAAGTGTATCCAGTTTAACATCGAGAGAAACTATCACAGACAAGAGATTATCATCATGTCCGATAGTCAAGCAGTCATCAAAGCGCTGAGCTCTTACGTAATCAGCTCAAAAATGGTCTGCCTAGAACAATTGAATGAAGTAGGCGAGAAAAATAGAGTTACTCTCACTTGGGTCCCGGGA